CAGACTAACATATTTTAACTACAGTATTACCGGTATTTGCATGAGACTACACAAACACATCCATGGAAAAGAAGAGAATCCGGGAAAAAAACATGATATCTCCAGAATTTTAGTCTATAATAATAGTAGAATTTTAAATCAATGGGGAAATGATGGATTATGCAAAAAAAATGTTAGGGCAAGTGCCTTCTATTAGTAAGAAAATAAAATTAGATTATCTCCTACACTCTAAACTCCAGTTGGATTACATAAAACTAAAAAAATTACTATAAAATGATAGAAAAATATTTTATGATAATGGGATGGGGAAGAGCTTTCTAGGCAACACAGAAGAGCCAGTTTTTAAATTTCTGCATTATAGAAGACACCATAAACTTCATTAAACAAATTTAATTAATGCAATTAAAGTCTTTGGCTTGAAGGATAAGAGTAAATGGGTAAATTCACTTCCAGGTCCACTTATAACATTAAGACAGTCAATTAACATCTCAAAATACCTAGTCTGGGATTTTTTTTAAACATTTGAAAAATGAGGATAATAATTCCGACTTCAAAGATATTTTAAAAATTAAATGAGAGAGTATACATACAAGCATCTAGAATGATACCTGGCACCTTCTTTTACTTGATATTGCATTAAATGTAGAATTGAGAAGCTGCAAAGAGGGATATCATTTATCTTGATATTAGTTATTTGGTTCATGATAAAATTACTTTATAATTCCATTTAACACTTCTGAAATAAAAACACATTTCCTCTCATCCCTTGCCCATTGTATCTTCCATGTACAAGCTGCCAGTTGTTAAGAGTTTATTTGTTCTAAAGGTGGGAGGTAAAGTGGCAAAGCAGCCAGAATTCACACAAGCTTAATAGCAAAACATAACCAAGGTGTAGATAATCACATTCTACTCCAATGCCTTTCTCCCATTAAAACCTTTTATCCATAAACATCTTTTTTTTTAAAGATTTTAACCAAAGCTACTGAGCAAGGATTATATCTGAAATTAAATATACGAATTTAAAATAACCTTCAGGATGGTGTACAATAAATGTTAGTAAAAGACAAAAATTGCATGAGTTAGATGAAGACTCAAGTATTTGAAGGCTTACTAACTCCAATTTTTTTTTAATGTTTGAACACTGCTTAGGGCAAAAATACTTCACAATTCAGAAAGCTCTCCTTAAACTTTTTGTTTCAAATAAAATATTCACTTCTTGAGTGAACCTGAATATGTTTAAAGAAAAAGCACAATTTTTATAAAAATTTTATAAAATTTACAGAGTAACTACACATACAATTAAACCAAAAAACCAAACTGCCGTTAAGTCGATTGCGACTCATAGAGACCTTGTAGGACAAAGTAGAACTGCCCCATAGGGCTCTGAAGGCTGTGAATCTTTATGGAAGCAGACTGCCACATCTTTCTCCCGAAGAGCAGGTGGTGGGTTTGAACCGCCCACTTTTCAGTTAGCAGCCAAGCACTTAGCCCATGTGCCACCAGGGATCCTCCACACACAATTTAGGGGTCAAAAAGTTCAAATTTCTTCAACAAATGTTGATCAAAATGTAAACTTCACACTTGGGGGGAAAAAAAGTACATTTAGATACATTTATGGTCTTGTAGATTTTTAGATGAACAAAATTTTGACCTTTAAGTTACTTTTATACTAGTGTTTAAAAAGCTAAAAAAGCAACCCAAAATTACACAATGAAATGTGCCTCCTAATCTAAAAATTAAAAACAAAACAATGTTAATCTGAATATAAAAGTAACCACTGACTTTATTCAAATTACTAAAGACAATGTTGCAACTGCAACATCCTTCTCTATATTTCAACCAGCCTTCCTCCTATTCTCATTCATTTAACAGGCAAATTAATCTTTAAAGTTTAAATGGCAGTGAAATTTTTCTTCAGCAAGATCTGCCTTTTGCATTAATTTGGCAGCACCCAAGGCAATCAGATCCACATGCCAAACTTACATGTCACAAGAACATTTGAGAAGGAAGATTAAATAGGAATCAATTTAAAGACAGCACAATAGATCAGGACACAACATCATTAGTGCAGCTGCCTGACTATCAAAGAAACAAGCCCAGCCCTCACAAATTTTCTGTTTTGATATGAAAGTTTCAATATATCACTCATAACATGCACAATACTCTTAAAGCCAAGTTTCTCTTGTACTTAACGCATGAGAATAAAAAGATGATTCTGAAATGCTCTTTTTCAAATACCATACAAATCTACATAGTAATGTTGTTGTTGTTGTCAGGTGCTATTGAGTCGGTTCCAACTCATAGTGACCTATGTATAACAGAACAAAATACTGCCCGGTCCTGCGCCATCCTCATAATCGCTGCTACGCTTGAGCCCACTGTTGCAGCCACTGTGTCAATCCACCTCTTTGAGGGTATTCCTCTTTTTTGCTGACCCTCTACTTTACCAAGCATAATGTCCTTCTCCAGGGACTGGTCCCTCCCGATAACATGTCCAAAGTACGTGAGACGAAGTCTCACCATCTTTCCTTCTAAGTAATAGGGTTATAGAAAAACTGTAAAAATTAGGAATGTGAATAATGAGACTTCTATTTCTCGGCATTCTTCCCTCTATTGCAAATCTAATCTCTCTCAAAAATGTACACAAGATACTTCGGTTTTTTGAGTTTTGGTCTCTCTTCTCGATTTGCTGGAGCCCTGGTGGCGCAGCAGTTAAGAACTCAATTGCTAACCAAAAGGTCAGCAGTTCAAATCTACCAGCGGCTCCTTGGAAACCCTATGGGGCAGTTCTACTCTGTCCTACAGGGTCACTGTGAGTCGGAATCCACTCGATGGCAATGGTGGGGGTGAGGGGGGAGTTTGGTTTCCCAATTTGCGAGGAGCCCTGGTGGCGCAGCAGTTAAGTGCTAGGCTGCTAACTGAAAGGTTGGCGGTTGGAGCCAGCCAACCACCCTTGAGAAAAAGATGTGGCAGTCTGCCTCCTTAAACATTTACAGCCTTGGAAATCCTACCGGGCAGTTCTACTCTGTCCTATAGGGTTGCTCTGAGTAGGAATCGACCCAACGGCATCAGATTTCCCAATATGCAGCCAACAATAATTGGAATACTGGAAACAATTCTTTTGAAAGTCTCTAAAATCTTAAAATAGATATTACATTCAAGTTTAACAAAGTTCACTGTAATATTCCATAGAACTTAGTCAGAATCTCTCCCCCTTATTTCATAGGTGTTCAACAATTCTTTTATTTCAAAAACAAAGACATCACATGGTTTGTGACCAATATCAGCAGCTAGAAATATTTCCAAATCACTTCTCTCAACTTGCTTTAAAAAAAAGAAATCAAACTCAAAATATGAAACAAACTGAGCAAAAAGCCACATTCTCTAACAGAAAAAAATGCTGTGATTAATTCATTTAAAAATAAATAGCTGAGTCACATCAATACAAATTTTACAAAAAGCAGTACACTTTAAAGATGACTTTGCCACACCATCTGAGAAACTAACCTACAAGGTGGTTCTGAACAACCCATTAATGTCTCCTCTGGGTCCTTCAGTTTACACAAAACATAAAAGTTTCAAAAACTAATAATAATAATAGCAATCATACCAAGTGCCAGTTTTTTTTTTTTTTTACAAGCAATAGCCCTCAGCTCTAAATGAAATTAACACCAAAAAAAAAAAAAAAATCAAAAGTCAAAGACAAAAAAAAAGTGTTTTTAAACTGTCTCTCAGAAGTAGGAGTTCCTTAGTTTTACAATTCTTTCGTCCCATTTTCACTGAAAGGAGAATGGGAAATTAACAGTGATAAAGATGAGAACAGTTAGTTTCCATGCAGAGGATCCAAGAATTTACCCCTCAGGCTTGGCCTACAGATCAGCAGGCACACACACACCAATTCTCCAGGGAGGATGCTTTCAAGAAATATCACTATCTAACGAAAGTTTTAAGATCTTATGTCTTTTAAGGCCTAAGGACAGCCCTACACATCCCACTGTAAAATACAACCTAGAAAAACTCCATTCTCCAAACAATTCGCGAGTTTCTTACAATGCCCGAAACGGAACGAGCACATACTCCGGGCACCCGCGGGCCTGCCACTTCTCCCACGGAAGGAAGGGCAGCCCAAGTCAGTGGGAGTGCCACCACGCCAGTCTAGGTGACAGATGTACTGGGGGCATCCGACTGTGATCCAGAGTGATCCAGGGCCCTCCAGGGCCGAGGCTGCTGGAAGAGGAACACAAATGCAATCCGCTGGGCCCTCCTACTTCCGTTCTCAAAACAGAAATGCACTCCTCCTCGTCCTCACCTCTCAGCCCAGTCCCTCTCGACAGCCGCCCCCCTTCATAGTGCTTAAGTGGGAAGAAAAGGAGCGAGTAATGGACCCGGATCGATAGCAGGCGGGTGGTCGAAGCACCGCCACCCCCGACCGACTCCCGGGCAAACGCACCGCCAGCGCCTCCAGGGCCCCTCCAGCAGGGGGCACGGCAAGAAGCAGAAGTCGGCGTCCCTGCTCGCCCCCTATTCCCTCCTCCCGGGGTACCGGGAGAGGGACAGTGCAAAGAGGAACTAAGTGACCTGCAAGGGGGTGTCCCCGAGAGCGCCCCCACAGAGGGGTGAGTGGGGAGTGAAAACCAAAAAGGAGCGGAAGGGGAAAGGATGAGCAGCCAGAAGAGGAAGGAGACGCGAGCGCGCGCCCGCAAAGGTTAGAGAAGTCTTTGGGGAGGCGACTGCACCCATTTCCTCGAGGCAGAGGGCGAGCAAAGGGGTGAGAAGGCGACGCCCTCCTCCCAGCCACAGCCTCGCCGTCAGGAAGGGTCAGTCGGCGGCTCCAGTGCCCTCGCCGGGTCGGAACTGGTGGCAACGGCCGCTCGCCCCGTCGGAAGCGCGGACTGCGGGGCCGTCGGCCCATTCCGCTGGGCCGGCTCCCACGTCCCCACCGCCGGGGCAGGCAGCTCCGGGGTGACGCCAGGCCGGCTCCCGGCGGCCGCGCCGGTTACCTGAAGCGGGGCGAGTCCTTCAGACACTCCTCGAAATCCACTGTCATCTTCATCCTGCCTCCGCCTCGCCTCGCTGGCGGTGCTGGAAGAGCCGAGGGTGCCAAGGGAGCGGCCGCGCTGGGGACCCGGACGGCTAAGGCGGGCGCACGGCCAGGACTACTGCTGCGCGGAGCTGCGGAGGGCGCCTGGCTCGCTGGTCATAGCAGCCGCGAAGGCGGCGGCGGCGATGGATCGTCAGGCCCCAGTCTGGCCCCTCTTCCTCCCGCCCCCAGCAGAGCTCGGGCCTCAGAGAAACGGCCCAGGAGTGACAGCTCCCGCCAGCCAGCCACGAAGCCGGCGGCCAGTGGGAGGGGCTTCCGGCAGTGCCGCCTGCGGGCGCTCTAGCAACGCGTCTGAGCGACAGCAGCCCGAGTCAATGAGCAGCGCGACCGTGGGCACCTCCTTGCCACCGTCGTAGCGGAGGCCAACGGGATGCGTCGGCGTCGTTAGGCGGGACGCACCGGTTGCTGCGAGGCCGGCCGCTGGGGCTCCTTGGGAAGGAAGTCACGTGACTGCGCGCAGCGCTTCCTTCGGAGCCTCCGCCTCTTCTCCCGCTTCCCCAGCCCCCTCCGGCTGAGTCGCCAGAGCCGGGCGGTTGCCGCCAGAGGGGGTGAGGAAGGAGATTTGCTCTTTTAAAGCAGTTTTGGCAGAAATCTGAAGAGGATGGGGGCAGAAATCATAAAAGGAAGGGCTAGGCTAAGCCATCGCTTCCTTTCAGTTTAGGGAAACAGGCCAGGAGAGGAGCGAGGGTAACTTTAATGATGAAACACGTCTTTAACATCTGGTTTCATTGCTTAATAATTTGGACATTGCTCCCGGGTACATCTTCTCACATAACCAGAGACCACTTCCTGAAGCAGCTGGCATTTGGAATGGGCACTGAAAGATCGGAAGGATTTAGACAGATATGAGAGGTAGGGCGTTTCGTGTGGAGGAACGGCTCTCAAACCCACACAAGACAGTCCTCCACTGACACTTTTCTCTCCTAGATTTCGCCTGTTCTAAGATGATAGGATTATGACGATGAGATTTACTGTAGCCAACCCTGCAACACCTGCCCTGTGATCCACAATATTTTTAGCAGCATGTTAAGATATTAACTGATCCTCACAGTACAAGGCAGATATTTTCCACTCATTGGTTTTAAGATGCCGTTGATTATAAAAAGTACTGTGATACAATATATGTAAATGTATACTTTTTAAACCAACCTAAAAAGCATAAGCATATCCATAAAATACGCATATGTAGGATGTTCTAACAGCATACTGATTCTGAGAGTCAGGAGGCAAACTTCTCCCTCACTGTAAAATGAAGGTAACGCCACTGATCTCAGAGTTGTCTTGAGGCTGAAATAGACAAGACCTGTAAAGGCACTTAAAACAGTGCCACATAGTAATCATTCGGTAAATGTTGGCTATTGTCATAATTGTACCCCTTTCTTCTTCGGTATCATAATCAAAGGGTAAGTGTAAACTTTCTCACACTGTCTAGTCTTATATAACCCTTTTCACCCTCTGGCTAAGTATGGCATCATGGTGACATACTGTTTTTCATAACCTGTGGTTATATCTTCATATCTTTAACACCTTTAGAAATTAACAATATAATTTGGAGAGATTTCAAAGACTTCAAGTGTTACACGTTTCTTCTTTGGTTATCAATTTGATTTCTTTTTTTTTAATTGAATTCCATATCCCTGGAATCTACACAGCTTCTCATCATAGCTAGAAGCTATTGACTGATAAATGTTCAGGGTCAGACACATTGGTTGGTCTGGTCAACCTCTTCTAGGTTTGTGACTTCTGTGTCATATTTACCAAGAGAGTCGGCAATTTCTACTGCATTTGATTGCATTGCATTCCTAATGTGTGGCAGCTAATCTCTGTACACAGTAAGTTACTGTTTCAGTGCTTCATCGCAGTGTATCCTTTTGGAAGACACCTGAAGTGACACTTTGGGGTTCAAATTACAATTCAGCTGCATGGCACCTTCAATGCAAATAACCAAGCTAATTATCAAATAAATATCTTCCTTCTGTGGTTGGTTAAGTTTGCATATACCCAGTTAGTGGTAACACCGTGACAATTTCTCTTCTGTGCCTGTGGTAAAGAAAGAATTTTGGGTTGTCAGTTGTAAGATATGCCCTAAATTAAGAAACAGTAAAAGTGGAGTGGGGTGGGATCAGTGGGTTTTAGAATGGAAGAAATACAATATTATTATTCTGATCTTATAATAATGGAACCTGAGGTTCCAAGATATAAAAATAGCTTGCCAAGACCAAACACAGGCCCCATGATCCCAGACCCTAACGGCAAACTGCCTGCTTTCTCCTTTTAAGCATTTCCCTTTCGCCTTCTCTTTAAAATGCGGCTCAAATGCTGTCTCTCTCAGGAAGTCTCTGCTGAAATACAGACCTCTCTTTTCAACACACCGTGAAAGTTGGTTAACAGACGCAGTCTACACTCCTAAAGGGTATAAATTTTCCAAGCTTAAACCTCTCTCAATTATCTTCTCCCCACTCTGCTATCTCTTGCTCCATACCCACTGGAACCCTGGACATCCATAGCTTTCCCAGAATGCATCTGATTTTCTCTGAGGGTATTTTTGACCATACATCCTCTTGGGCAGTTGTTCATTCTCCTCCCCGCCCCCTTCCTCCCCCTCCCCCCCATCATCGTCCTCCTGGGCCTGAGTAGACAGTGAGCAAGAACCTAACTTTTGACTACAAATTACAGACAAATACATTTCACTTTCATGCAAGAGTTTCTCCTTGAGGTTTATGCCTTATAGCCATTTTACTCTTATTTTTCTCATTGCTGTTATCCTCCAATTTCTTAGGATCTCCCTAGCTTGGCCTGGTTAGTTGTATTGCAAATTACCTCAAGAAAATTGGGTTATTATGAGGGTAACCTTGGGCAAGCACTGGAACTGAGAAGCACAGGAAGCCAAGCACCTCTGGAAACTGGCTTCCCATTCTTGGCTTCTGTATCCTCTCTCCTTTCTTTCCTCCTCCCCCACCTCTGCCAACTTTCCTCTGATCTCTTATGGTTTCTGTTCTCCTGTGAGCCTGGGGAACACCATTGCTACTGTTCCTTCTACAAGTTGGTTATCAGTTGCCTACAGTGGCCAAGCAGGTAATGTAAATGAGAAGCTGACCAGGTGTAGGCTGTATGGAGTGCTGGGGGTTTGGTGAAGGTGTACTGCGTAGAGGTCCCTGGGTGACACAAACACTTGGAGCTCAACTACTAACCTAAAAGTTGGTGGTTCGAACCCACCCAGTGGCTCCGCTGAAGAAAGACGTAATGATCTGCTTTCATAAAGATTACACCCAGAAAAACCCTATGGAACAGTTCTACTCTGTAACACAGGGGGTTGCCATGAGTCAGAAACAACTCAACAGCAATGTGTCTTTTTGTGTGTTTGTTTTTGGGTTTGTTTTTTTTTCGTTTTTTTTTTTTTTTTGGGGGGGGGGTTCTGTACTGTCCAGCTCCCGTTGGTTTTTGCCATACCAGACCCTCAGATTTCACAAGAGAAGCCAAGTATCCAGATTTTAATGTAGAATCTCCCACCTTTGAAAAGTTAGCAGCCTTTTCAAAATATTATAAAATGTTGCACGGGCCATAAAAATAAGTTTCAGGGCCACTCTTGCAACGTCTGCTCTGTGTTTCTTGATAGTTCTTGGTGTGTCCTTTCAACATACGCTCCTGGAACTAATCACTCCAATGTGTCTTCCAACTCCCAGATCCCAGGAGAAAATCAGAGTAGCCCTGCTCATCTTTTCATGTAAGGCCACACAGGTCATGGAGCCCTGGCAAACCTATACAGGCATGGCATCAATGTATAAATGTAGTCATCTATACAGGAATCAGGATGGGGCCGGGGGTGCAGGACAAGGCAGTTTCCCTAAAAGAGAGTGTCGATGGCCAGGCACCATAAAACACAGCTAGTGAACTTTCACATTCACTGAGGACTTCGGCCTCTGACTCACAGTTCTCCACCTGAACTCCTATCATCAGCTAAAGTGGCTGCAACACTCACTCATTCTTTCCTTCATTCAGTAGTATCAATTGAGCATGTACTCTGGTAAGACTCTAATATGGACTCTGAGCTTTACAGATGAAATAGTCTCTTCCCTCTAGAACTCTCAGATAAGAAGAGGAAGCAGATAATCATAACACCACATGTAAGTTCTCTGCCAGCAGTATGCTCAAGATGTTGCTGAAACTCTGATAGTCATTTCTCCTGGGGAGGAAAATAAAGGTTCTTGTATCTGCAGATCTGAGGAATCTTGAAAAAGTAAGGGGCCAGAGGAAGTTCTTTCCAAGGATCATTAGTCACACGAACTATGTGACAAGCACAGAAGCAAAAGAAACACATGATCATTAAGAGTCCCTGTGTGGCACAAACTGTTAAGTGCTCAACTACTAGCTGAAGGGTTGGTAGTTCAAACCCATCCAGAGGTGCCTCGGGAGACAGGCCTGGTGATTTACTCCCAAAAGGTCACAGCCTTGAAAACCCTATGAGGTAGTTCTACTCTGCACACATGGGGTCAACCAAGAGTCAGATTGACTGGATGGCAGCTAACAACAACAAATACAGCATACGGCTTTGGAAAAGGACAAAGAAACGAAACTGGACAGGTAAATAGTGGCCAAATTACAAAGGGCCTTGTCTGCCATACTAAGGAATTTGTATCTTAAAGTAATGGGAAGCCATTGGAAGAATTTAAGCTTGGGAATGTTGTGATCCAATTTGCATTCTAAAGAGCACTGGGGCAAGGGGGTGAAGGCTGTTAAGACTGAGACTAGGAGGCAGGGCCAAGATGGCGGAGTAGTCAGATGCTTCCTGGGGACCCTCTTACAACAAAGACCCGAAAAACAAGTGATTCGATTATATATGGCAATCTCAGCGCCCTGAACACCAAAGGCAGAGTTGAGGAACCAGACTGAGTGACAGGGGGAGGGAGAGACGGTTCGGAAGCAGTGAGGAGTTGCCGAACATGACCCAGTGACAGCCTGAGCCCTTCAGGCCTGATCAGCTTAGCCTTGAGCAGTGAGGCAGGCAAGCAGCCATGCTCAGGAGGCACGTTTTCTGCACTGGGAGAGACCCAGCTGCTGAGAGTCTACATAGCTACCCAGAACCAGTGAGAAGCAGCCCTCCATTGCCGAAAGATAAGTACTTGCGTATGGCCTACCGCGTGGATCAAAAACACCCCTCTCAGGGAAAAAC